TATATATATATATATATATGATGCGGCTGTGTGTGTCGGCGGTGCGGTAGTGTAAGACCGTGTTATGTAGCTGCCGCATATTTGCACGACAATTGGTGACACGCAGTGGCAGGAAGCAGCGAATGCCGACACTGACGATGTATGTATATATATACGTCTATATATATATGTAATTATTATCTCTCAAATAAATCGAAATATTAATACATGTAGCCAAATTGGGTCTCGCCCCTTATATATATATATATATATATACGTATATATATACGTCTATATATATATATGCACTTAGCTGCGTATGTCTTCGTTGTCTGTAACAAATGTTGTGATAGCGTATACTCTGTTTTGGCAGAGCTTTTGGGTCCAATATGACTGTCTGTAAAATTGTTACCGTGCAATGCGAGCATCTTTATTTTTTCGCTATATAATGGTTTGTTGATTTTAATTCATGATATGCAATGTTAGGTATATGCCGAACAATTACTTGTATGATTTTTTCATAATTGTCGATGAAACTTGATGATGCGTATGATGCAGTTTAACCTCTTTTTTCTAAGATAGCTTATAATGTATAACTGCCAACATTAATAAAATTTACAATTGTAGTTGGCGATGATGTTTATGATCGATATGGTCATTCTAATGTCACAGCACATATATATATATGCCTCTATCAAAGCATACGTACTATACTGTTTATTTTGTAAAGATGTCTTGTTTGCGGATAGAGCGGAAGGCTGGTATAAAAATAGTATGCTGGGATCAAAATGCAAGGATTGTATTAAGAAATAACGGTACTGTAAATATGGTGGAGACAGTTTGTGGCAATTTGTCACAGAGACACATAAATTATGCCTCTAAGGAATTTATGGTATGAGATTCGTATGTCGATATACGACAAATAGCTGAGATAATCCGCTGTGCTTATTGGATTAGGCTTGGTTATAATTACGGCGAATGTAATTTATATTAATTAAAATGTTTTTACAGCTTAGCGTGCTGAGTTTGGAAATTAATTTAAGTCAGTCTGAGACAATTCTACAAATACACAACAACAAATACAAATGCAAGCAATATTTTGCCCAAACTACATTTACAAGAATGCACTTTGCTCCAAACGCGTATATTTTCAACCAGATATATATATTTCTGTTGGAAAATACTGGCCGTGTACAAACACTGATGCTAGAGAACATCGAGAAGGTTGGGTACCTCATTATATCCAAAGGTGACACATTGTCAATCACTTCCCTGTCAAATTACATATCAAATAAGCTGCGCATGAAAACATACCTAACGAGTGAAAGTAACACATTAATTTGTCTAGTAGGTAAATGAACAAGATTAACCATTCAATTTCATCTAAAAACAAAAGGTTTTTATTCAAACCTGATATCTATGCATACATGCATATTCTCCAAATAATAAAATAGCTGCTCATAGGTAGCGCCACCTTACATTCGCCCAAAGAAACATCAATATCATGTTGATTCAAGTAAACTTTGCAAATAGCTAGGTCCTAGGATCTTCTAAGCCCTAATTCTAGCTCCTTGTGTGTAAGAATGGCACTCACTCAGCCCATGAATATTGCAGGAAATGTCGCACCAGGATTTGAGCTAGTTAGGGAAAGGTTCAAGTAAGTTGGGGTCAAATGACCTCATCATGTAAATTGCAAGGGCGCTAGGCAAATTGCCGCAGGCCTACGGCAACTGTACGCGGGCTATAGTACTAGAGCTAGGTCCAAGTAAGCTGTAGGCTGTAGCTTAATACACAGACCCATTATCAAGATGATCAAGATGATCAAGCGTAACTTGAATAGGCTAGCGACGCTTATCGTACACTGTGTACAGTTTCAATGCATGAGTAGGGTAGCGAGTACTATTTAGGCCCAAGTCTTTTAAGACTTAAAGGCATAATTCGACCATCGATTATGCAAAGTTGACGAATGCTACAGTAACTGGCACCTTGTGTAGTTAATAAGTACATTACCTTATAGCCAAACGCGTATTAGTTTGTCCAATATCACTGCTAATTACTAAGAAATGTCTAATTGAAATCCGTAAATTTGGTAATCTGGCGACAACGCTAAATTTATTGCCAACAAAATAAACATCGAGTTCGGTTCGGTGACGTCACATGTTGCTACAGGATGTTGAGCATCGAATTGTTTGTCCCGGGTAAATTGTTTGCCTAGTGTTATTATTTGCCTAGTTGCCACATATTATATGTTGCTTGTAATCTCAAGAACTTCGTATATTCATTTATTCCCGAATCCCAAGAGTAAAACCATAACGTACGGAATGCACACTCAGACTACAAGGATCGAAATCACTGACGGCCGAGCATACGTGCGAAAATGTCCGGTGCACTATAATCTGTATGACACCGCCTCGCCGGTTACGGCCGGTCACGGCCGGCATAGCGGGTTGAAACTGTCAACAACGGATTTATTTGACCGCGGATTTCAATTGGATATTTCTTAGTAACCAGCAGTGATATTTGTTATGGATGTTGATATATGCACCAAGAGGTGGCGCCACGAGTATGCGTGGGAACTCGGGGTGCTGGAGAGTATGGTGGAATAAACGAGTTGCACTACACAACGTGTCGATTGTGTCTTGGAGAGAGTTCTTCATAAATGAATAACTACTAGGCAAACAATATTGGACAAACTAATACGCGTTTGGCTATAAGGTAATGTACTTATTAACTACACAAGGTGCCAGTTACTGTAGCATTCGTTAAAATTGCATAATCAATGGTCAAATTATGCCTTTAAATAGACTACGTCACGAATTTTCCACGGTAAAATTTGTTTTAAAAAAATCCCCATTTTTTTACATTAAAAGTAAGAACTAACGTTACTAAATATATCCTCAAGCTCTCACCTGATAAAAATGTTTTTACGTTGGTTAAATTTGCAAAAATCTAGACGATTTGGTAATTGTTGTCTAACACTATTCCCCAGTACTGTTCAGATACTGGCGTCTCTCTGTTTTTCACCGGCAAATTAGGGCATATAAAGAAGGTATATAAGCATGAAAAGTAAACAGAAACACTAATTGTATTTTCATACATTTTATTTTGTACAAATAAAACACAAATATACTACTTTAAATTCGTGACGTAATCACTTTAAGAGCTGTCCACATTTGCACATGTCTGTCGTCGCACATTGCGAAAATGAATGGCTGGTATTATTTCTCCGTCAGCAGCCGGAGAAGCAGCGGTGAAAACCATCGTTATAGTTCTCCGGCCGCCGGAGAATTAAGAAAAAATTTTCTTGTTAGATCTCCAGCGCCAGTGAAACAAGTGTACGTTTTCAGCACTGCTTCTCCGGCTTTGCCGTAGAAGCAGTGCTGAAAATCATAGTTAAATTCTGCGGCAGACCGAAGTGTCCCGCCGCCGCTGTATTCCGCCTGTGGGCCGCCGTCCCGCCGCCGCAACCCTAACCCTAACCCTAACCCTTACTTCTGGTTTGGACGTTATGGTTTTATGGGGTGGTTATGGTTTGCGCAACGGCATAGTCTGCTTTTTGCCGGAGAAGCTAGTTTGATTTCTTGGCTTAGTTGTCCGGCTTGCCGGGGTAATAATCACTTCGAAAATGAATTGGGTACAGCTCTTAAATATCCTTGAACCCGAGTGGATACTACCATAGGCATTTGGCTCAACAACAGTTGCTTGTCCTTGGGCCGTTTCAATAATAACACGAGGGCAAATAAAAACAATTTATACACCCAGTGCCCACCATTTCTTTTTAAGTTTGTGTTTCATCAACCGTTTTAATGCTATTAGTATTAATACGTTTCCCAGGCACTTAGGCCAAAATTGCAAGTCCACGTCCATGTACATTTGATATAAATTGTAACACGTAAGAATGCCATCATACGTTAACTAACTCGTATGTCGTCGTGCCCCGTAACTAACCGTATCAGTGGAAAAAATACACGGGGGCTCGGGGCGATTTAGCCCCCGAAATGCCAAAAAGAACCCCGGAAATGCCAAAAAGAGCCCCCGTAAATTTGCATAGAGTTCAATGCAAACCAAATTTTAGAGTGCTATTTTCATCCACGCAAGCTTGAAAAGTAGCCCCCGATAAATAATTTTTTTTTCCCTGGTGAGCACACCGACACCGTCTATCGTTTCTCTCTCTTAAACTAAAGGGAAAACTTCGATTGCGGTCTTGAGGAGAACGGAGCGGCGTTCAGCGCGTATCACGAGGGAAAGCTCGTCGTCGACCTGCGGGGCGGCTACGCGGACAAGAGCTGTGGCTACGTGTGGCGGGACGACACGCTTGCCGTCGTATTCTCGACGACGAAGGGCGTGTGCGCGCTATGCATCGCCATCATGGTCGACCGCGGCCTGCTGAAGTATGACGACCCGGTCGTCGCGCACTGGCCCGAGTTTGGACAGCACGGAAAGGATGCGGTTACCGTGGAGATGCTGGTTGCTCACCAGGTACGTTGGTTTCGTCGATGGGTACGGCACGCGAGAAGTGACAGGTTTTGGAGAAAATTTACCGTTAACTTTGCAGTCGGTTTCTGTTAAAATCGCGACGATGTGAACGGAATAATTCTGAAGATTCCCTCCATGGGATTCCCTCATTATCCTCGGGTTTCGCCCTGTGACGGAGCGAAGTGCTGCACAATGGAGATAAGTCAGCCGCAGAAAGTGCATTTGTATCATTACTTGTCGAACAGACGCGCACTTGTCGAACGTTCGCGCATGCGCGCGCGTTTTTCCTGCCCGCGTAATCGACGTTGAGCGCGCTTCGTCTTCTCCGTCGCAGGCTGGGGTGCCGCTGGTGGACGCAGACCTGGACCTCGACACCCTGCGCGATCGCGCGAAGGTGGGCGAGATCCTCGCGCGGGAGAAGCCCCGCTGGCCGGTCGGGGCAGGTCACGGCTACCACATGTTCACGCATGGGCTCCTCGTCGACCAGCTGCTGCGACGCGTCGACCCGCACGGGAGGACGGTCGGCCAGTTCTTCGCGGAGGAGGTCGCCGGGCCGTTCGGTATTGCGGGTTTGGGGTGGGGGAGGGGTTGGGGATTCATGCCATTCAGTATTCTGGGTTCCAGCCGTTCGGTATTCCAGGTTCGGAGGTTCAGGGTTTGGGGGTTTGGCGGGTTCGGAGAGTGTGGGAGTTTGGAGGTTCGGGACGTTCAGTATTCCAGGTTTGGGGGGTCTGGAGGTCCGGTGGGTTCGGTTGTTCGGGGGGGTTCAGCGGCTCAGGGTTCCACGCATTGCTCGAAGTGGGACATTTCAATACTAGATTTGTGCATTTAGAATATTTAAATCTATTTTAAACATTTTTGAGTTTGACTAATTTACTAAATAGATGCATTATTAATTTGATCATGTGAGATTTTCTCCTGGTGGAAAAAATTTTGAGGTGGGCGAATGTGCGCGTGCAAGAAAGTGGCGATTAATGGTGGCCCAGTGTTGTTAGCCTGTGTTAATCGTTATTGCAATGACGTGTGGAATACTGGTATCACTCTGAGGCAGCAGAGGGAGTCTGTCTATCACCAACTTGTGTCGTAAAAGACGAGCTTTGAGGGTACCAGATGCACTGATCATCACTGACACACTGATATGGGAAGTTTTGCACGCATCTCAGAATATCTTCCTCTGTAAAAAAATACTTTAGTAAACCCTGTGACCAAAATACTAATGCACCTTCTTAGTAATTTTCTGAAAACTGAATTGTTTTTTGCTCTTCTAAAAACATTTTATTTGATTAAAATATTTGAAATGCCTAAATCTAAGATTGAAATTTTCTCTTCAGGTATTGACTTTCACATTGGCCTTGCAAGACCACTCCAACACAGGGTCGCACGGATAGTTTCCATAGAACCCACGTTGTCTGACAAGGTGACCGAGTACAAGACTTGGATTAACGCGCTGACGTCCCCCGCATCCAGAACTCGCATATTCAAGGAGTTCCTGTCTCGACCCAATCCTCCACTTTTCGCTTTTGTGGTCAGTATCAGCTGTAAGAGAGAATTAGCTACAATGCTATCAGTAGTTACTAGTAGGAACAACACTATCTGTAGTAGGAACAATGCTGTCAGTAGTAGGAACAATGCTGTCAGTAGTAGGAACAATGCTATCAGTAGTAGGAACAATGCTATCAGTAGTAGGAACAATGCTATCAGTAATAGGAACAACACTATCAGTGTAAAATCGTCAGACTGTTCAACATGCGCGCCCCGTAATAATTTGGATTTGTTACACACTATTGATATATATTCCGAATACCCCTTTCATCCAGTTATCGTAATATGTTTGTATCGTGAGTACGTAACTTATGACGTAACGTGTCATGTAACCTATTATGCTGTAACGTACGTAACACAGTGTTTTGTGAATCTCACAAATTCGTGATCGCGCACTCGTTGCTATGGCAACAGGGCAACGAGATCTTCAACAACCCCGACTATCGTGAGGTGGAGTTTCCTGCAGCTAACGGCGTCGGCACGGCGACAGCTCTCGCCAAACTCTACGGGATTCTCGCCAACGGTGGTTCGCACGAGGGTCACGTTCTTCTCTCGCCGGAGACTCTGGCAACGGTAATCAGCCCCTAGTTCTTGCTCGAGTAAGGCAACACTGGCCGCGGTAAATCAGCCCCTAGTTCTTGCTCGAGTAAGGCAACACTGGCTGCGGTAAATCAGCCCCTAGTTCTTATTCGAGTAAGGCAGCTCTGGCCGCGGCAAATCAGCCCCTAGTTCTTGCTCGAGTAAGGCAACACTGGCTGCGGTAAATCAGCCCCTAGTTCTTACTCGAGTAAGGCAGCTCTGGCCGCGGTAAATCAGCCCCTAGTTCTTGCTCGAGTAAGGCTACACTAGCCACGGTAAATCAACCCCTAGTTCTTACTTGAGTAAGGCAACACTAGCCACGGTAAATCAGCCCCTGGTTCTTACTCGAGTAAGGCAACACTGGCTGCGGTAAATCAGCCCCTAGTTCTTACTCGAGTAAGGCAACACCTGCCGCGGTAAATCAGCCCCTAGTTCTTACTCGAGTAAGGCAGCTCTGGCCGCGGCAAATCAGCCCCTAGTTCTTACTCGAGTAAGGCAACACTAGCCACGGTAAATCGGCCCCTAGTTCTTGCTCGAGTAACGTCTATAGCAAACCGGACCAACATTTTTTGCATCTTGGAAATGTTTCTAGGAGCTAGCATCTAGCATTTTTAGCGAACACCCGTTCCAAAGTCAGTGAGCAACACGTGATTATTTTATCTGGTCATGTCGTAGTCGACTATGTGAGGGTAAGGCTCTGTTAACATTTTTCTCTTATCATGGAGAAGTTTTGGTGATAAAACCTTTCACAGGTATAGCTGGGCTACGAGAGGTCCGTTGCTGATAGAACTAAGATTCTTGTCGATGAACAGGCTGATAAAGCAGCTAGAATATACCCGTGTAATCTTTCTAAGTTACACAAAAAAACCAAGATAAAAAAACCGTACAAGCATTTGATTACAAGACACTTACAAAGAGGCTGATAAGGCAGGTAGAATATACACATGTCGGCCTTTCAAGCTACGCAAAGAACCCAAGATAAAAAAATCTTACCTGGAGTTAAAAAATCGGCATCCCCGCACTTTTCTAGAGAACTATGCTGTAGCACAACTGCAATACGAGACAAGACAAGTATAAATCTAAAAAAGTCACCGTCCATCTGTCCATCACGCATTGTTGCCAGTCGAGGCCACAGGCACTTGGAGCGTTTCAATAAAATAATAATGCTAAATTAATACGAAATCTATTTACTTCCTGTTTAGCTATATATATATATGTGTGTCAGTGTGCGGAAGCGCGCGTGCGGTGTACGTGTGTGTTGCAGAGGAGCACTTGCACGCATTTACAGGAGATTGTCGGCAATAATAGGCGAAAGAGAGTAGAGAAACATTAAGACTTTGGTAGTAAATCGATTTCGTATTTAGCATTATATTTTATTGAAACGCTCCCAAGTGCCTGTGGTCGAAGCTTAGGTCCAGTGAGCGCTGTAACTAATGGCCCGAGTAGTCAGCCGCGGCCTTTTCGTCGCGCTGCGAGATTCACGGGATCACGTTAAGACCCCGTGCGTGCGCTGGTCAATGTAAACCCGAATCGACATATCTGCCAGTCATCTGAACTACTATGTCGCCGACGTGCCAGGCGTGATTGACAGCCAGCTCTAGCAAATCATTGCTGATTTGACACGTTCTAAAGACAGTGCTTAGCAGCAAAGTGCCACAAAGTAGACAGTTTGGCATGCAAACTGGGTGGGCTTAACCGAGTCGGTGACAATATCCCAGGTGGGTGGGGCGATCGATCTTTCTTTGGTTTTGATTTAGATTTGGTGTGGGCAGATATGACATTTGAATCGATTGTGATGTATAATGTAACGGCACGGTTCCGCGTAACCATGCGGACCGCCGAACGACCGAGCGGAAAATTTCTCAGATGACGACATCGTTCAGCGATGATCGATGGTTGATTGATGATTGAATGATGTCGACAGGTCCAGCGGCAGGTGACGAGCGGCGAGGACAAGGTCGTCGGATATCTCGCCTCGAAGTTTCAGCCGCAGTTTACGGCCGGCGGGTTCTACACTGGCGCCCCCTACTGCAGGTCCGAGGTAAACGCGCCGTCTCTGCGTTCACGCCGCTTTCGCTTAAAGCCTATGCGAACCCAACTATGTATATTTTTCAATGAAACAATGATATTTCATCATATTATTACTTACCTTGATGTATTTTATCAAAAAGTTGATTTTGTAACGTTTGAAGCAATAATACATTAAGTAAAATCAACGAGACGCAATTCGATTCGAAAGGAGGCGTGGCCTTATTGTGACGTAGTTTTGGGAATCTGCGCTGAGCTTTGAGCCATGGCATACACGCTTCGCACCGTACGGTTATTGTTGTAAAGCAGTTTAATAAACAGTAAAAGCCTACAGAATCATACGGTCCACTTCTAACTGACATACTGCCTATAAGTCAGTCAGACTGACTGCTCTACTGCGATTGTAAAATATCGGAGTTCCGACGGTATCTGCTTCGTATCTTGCTCTCTCATTGGTATTTTTGGTGGTATAGTGTGTAACTGAGTGCTATAGAGTTTAAACTGTGTCTTAAGTTATAGGTGTATCCATACCACACATCTTTGATTGAAGTCACTCTTATATGTGACTGAGTAGGACGTCAGAGATCACCAGCACTGCCCCTCTTAATGAAACGTCTGTTGTGTGAGACTTGGTAATCACTAAACCATTGGCATTGCCCATGTTCTGGTAAAACAGCTGTGTGAAACTGTAAGGTACTCCAGGTGTGTGTCTGTCTGTGTGCGAGCGTGCGTGCGTGCGTGCGTGCGTGTGTGTGCGCGCACGTGCGTTTATGTGAGAGAGAGAGAGAGACAGTAGTGGAGGTTCGCCAACATCCTTTCTAAATAAATAATCGCGACGCGAGGCGACGTTCCACCCTAACTGGTTCTCGAACCTTGGTCTTGCAGGGCGACGTCGTGATCGGTTCGCCGGGGTACGGGGGCCAGGCGGCGTTCGCCGACGCCGCGAGGAAGCTGGGCTGGGCCTACATCACCAACAGCGTGAAGCCGAGAGACGTCGACGAGAGGTCGATGTCGCTGATGGAAGCGACGTATCAGTGCCTGGATGAACTCTGCAGATGAAACGCGATCGCATTTGATTTGCAAGATGACGAGTGGAACAGTGTGTAGTGCAGCGGAATATGTGGAATGCGTAAAGATTGTAATGTGAAAGTGTGTGCAGTGGTGCGTGAGTGGAATAGGAGAATTTGTAACGCGACGCTTTGGGTCCGTTAGAGAATGGATTGCGTAAAAGGTGCGGCGTGGCATTGTAGTCGGGGTAATTAAAAGTTCGTTAGGGTAATTAAAGAGGGAAGAGAGGTGAAAAGGGAGCTATTCATTGATTGCTTTATATCAGAATTCGCGTTTCTGCGTTGCGCGTTGCAGTTTAAAAGTATTTTATTGCTTCTAAAGTAATAGATGGTTTTGTTTTTTGTACGGGATAACTGTACGTATATATACGTGGTTGTGATAAATTATGGTTATATTTGATACAATATTCTTTTTATCGTGCTCTGAATTGCACGTCATATTTTTTTTACAATGTTTATTACCATCGTGTGTGATAATTGAGATTATCTACCTCTATTTCAAATCAAATATATTTTGTAGTATATTTACTCTGTGTTACGCTTAGTTTTATTTGCTGTTTGAAGAAACACATTCTCTTCTATTTGCGGGTGTTTACTACTAATAACTAGTTAGGATCATACAAAAGTTAATAACAAGTTGAAAAAAATTACCAACATTAACAAACAATTCTGACACTCAATCACTTTGCATTGAATAAATAATCGGTATGAATATATTGAATCACATTAAAATATTCGTTGCAAAACCTGCCCATCTAGCACGGAACCATGTTACAGCCAATTTATATGGGCTGCGAATTAAGATAATATAATTTAATATTATTATAAATTTTCGTTATTAATATATGGACTATAGAATCCCCAAACTGCCTCCACTGTGTAGAAGGACGTCTCAATAATTGTTATGGAATTATAGCATGAACCAACTGTATTTATGATGGCGTTTATAGGTCCCTATATAGTCACCTTTATGATACTCACGCACACCAATAAATTTTCCACACGAATTCATCTCAATAAGATTCCCTTCTCACTGCAATAGCGTTAAATTGTGAGAAAATTCTTTGGCGCATTTAATCGTTCTACTATCCACGACCACATACGTATGTCACATACATATAACTATATGTTTCTATAGGTGGACTCACAACGTGTGAATTCTCTCCACTGTCGCGCCCAGCACGACTCAACCCTACTAGCTCCAATCAGGCTGCGAGACTAATTAATGCACATCGTTCTTAATTAGCTAAATTTCTCGGTTTTATGAACCTAAGCTTGGACCATGAATTTTACGTGTGTCGGATACACGTGGAGCTCTAGATGTTCCTGCCTATACATGTGTGTATGTATGTATGTATGTCAAGGATGGATGGATGCATAGATGCATGGATGCATGGATGCATGGATGGATGGATGCATGGATGCATGGATGC